TAAATTAATATAATATAATTAAACTTTTATATATTTTAAGCTATTATTTTATTTTTTTCTAAATGCATTTATTTTGAATTGTAAAATTTATTTTTGTATTATTTGGTAATATTGTGTAATTATTAAATAAATAAATATGTTTTCTTTAATTTTTACTGTTTTTATTTTTTTCGTTCTTCAAAGATATATTCGGACCGAAACCGGTCTGGATATATTTATAGAATGACGCCTGTTGGGAGACGAAACTTTTAAAAGTTACAAGCAAGTCCAATATGTTCGGACCGAAAACGGTCTAGATATAGTTTGAGAATGACGCCAGTTGGGAGACGGAACTTTTAAAAGTTACAAGCAAGTCCAATATGTTCGAACCGAAAACGGTCTGGATATAGTTTGAGAATGACGCCTGTTGGGAGACGAAACTTTTAAAAGTTACATCCAAGTCCACAATATTCAGACCGAAAACGGTCTGGATATAGTTTGAGAATGATGCCTGTTGGGAGACTAAACTTTTAAAAGTTACATCCAAGTCCATAATATTCGGACCGAAAACGGTCTGGATATATTTATAGAATGACGTCTGTTGGGAGACGAAACTTTTAAAAGTTACATGCAAGTCCACAATATTCGGACCGAAACTGGTCTGGATATAGTTGCAAGTTTTAAAAGTTGCAGCTGGGTCCTCAATATTCGGACCGATCCCGGTCCGTATATATTTGTGATGCCTCTTTCCGCCACAGTTATAGACCGTTGTCGGTTCGTATATATATTATTATTTTATTATATTATTTTTTTGGGACCAATTTCGGTCCGCTTATTTCAATTTCTCAATAATTATTTATATTTCTTACTGAAATATCCAGACCGATTTCGGTCCGGATATAATATATATACGGACCGATTATACGTCGGTCTGTATATTATACTTATTCATACCAAGTTTTTTCAGATCAACTATAAGGACCAATATCGGTCCGTATATATATGTTCAGACCGATTGGGGATATATCCGGACCGATTGTTCGGTCTGAATATACCATTCCTACAGTAGTGTTATACACTTACAGGTTATAGAGAGAGGTTTGCATGTCTTTGCATTGAATTCAACCTTCAACAACCGCTACCTTCCTCACTGGTCATTGATGGTTTTACCCAAAAAATTATTTACGAAGGAATATAGTCTCTCTATTTTTCTTGTGGTCATTTAAGGTATAAAAAACACCAATGCCCAAGATTGCTCATGGATAATCATGAAAATCCATCCCTATTGTCTCAACCCACTCTTCATGTGGCCTATATGGTGAACGATTCCTTGTTACCAAGAAATGTTGTTGGCAATGATCAAAGAATACTCATCACCAATGGCTAACCACACTAGATTAGGTGCTGCCAATAAAAGCGTGGTTTGAAGTCGAATTCAAAATTCAAATCAAGTGAGGGCCAACATTGCCCTTTGGTTTCTACACTTATTCTAAGAAGCCTAACTAAATCAAAAACCCCAATTGTTGACTTGAGTAAGTCAAACTCTTCCTCTTCACCCTCCTTCC